GCCAGTGGTAGAGCTTTTGTCAAAAAGTCAAATGTAAGTAGGAGTTGATAGTAGATGTGCATGTGAGATATACGCGGAGAAATCATCACTAATTACCAGTGTGTCCATAACATATAGAAATAGCACTAAATAGTGTCGATATCTATACTATATCGGTGCACTATATATGTAAGATATTCCGCAAGACACCGTAGCTCACGATCGAAGTGAGTGCGGACGGCAAACATGTTGACGCATACACACAGTTCTTTCTACTGCCGCACGGCAATTTGTGATTTTTTCCGTCTACACTGACTTCGATCGTGCGATATGGTGTCGTGCGGCAATATCTTTCATATATAGTGGACCGATATAGTATAGATATCGACACTATTTAGTAATATTTCTATATATTATGGACACACTGCTAATTACTACCGCTACAACCTTTATTTCTTTTTTTCTTAAGGTTTTAATAAATCACTGATGGTATATTTGTCCCAGTCTCCATTCCTCAGGAAAAAGTAACGATATGGATCTATGATTATTTCAACATATCGCCAAAATGATGTTGCATTCGGTGCACGTGCTTTTTGAAAAGTTTTTCTTTCTATGATAACCATCGCACAGGCCGAAGTTATTGAAACCATGTAAATGACAAATAAGAAATAAATGCTTTCTACCTTAAAGTTCCTGTATTCAATTCGAACTTTTTTCTCTGATAATGAGCGATAACTCTTCAGCCATCTGTCGATTAGGCCACCTTCACTCGCATATCGTATGACATTGTTCAGATCTGATAAGAGTGGGAAATCTCTCCGCACCAACATTTTCAACGAAAATTCATAAATCATATTTTCATGTCCGAAACAGTAAATACCCTTTTTGAAATCAACATTATTTGTATTGGACCGCGACTCTTCGTACGAGGCAGCAACTGCTACTTTGTTATTCCATTCTAATTGGCCAAAATAATCACTTGGGTCTTCAACCATTTCGAAATTGTTCAATGATTCGAGTGGATAAATCTGAATATGAAAAAGTCACAAAAAGAGCTTATCTTGTGTTCTTCTATGTGAGTTCGAAATTGAATTATATTACCATGTTCTGTTGCATAATTTTCTGTAACGCAAATTGATTTCCGATTAAAGTAAATTGACCGTCGATTATCTCTTGAACGGTTTGTACTTGTGGATTGAAGATGTTTATAATAAGTATTCGAATAAGTCCTGAGTTCAAGACCGTTAGGAATATTATTCCTCCATATAGAACCAACGTATAACCAATTCGACAGGCATTGTTTACTGGATTGTAGGCGCATGGAAAGCCTATATATGCACGAAGCCCGTTCAACCAAAATTTATTCCAATCCCATTTTTGGTGACGCTGTGGTTCAAGTTGTTCACAAATGTATGCAAGGAATAATGTCCCGATGGTGATCGAAGACATTAGAATATAAACAAGCGGATCTCTGCAAACATAGAGAACATTTCGCCACAAAGGGATCAATTTGCTCTTTTGAACGCACCACGTTAATTTGTCATGATAGTAATAATGAGTTGCGGCCAAATACTTTTTCGTTATTACATTTTCTTCTAGTCCACCGATGAATATGTCAATGTTGCTGAAATTCATCTTCAATCATATTCAATTGTTTCCTTTATTTTAATGTCAAAACTTACGAATCTTGAGTGGTTTGTAGAAAACTTTTAATAAAATTTTCGGAGTCAAATATTTCTCGTTGAGTTTGGTTTGTCATGACATATTCAACTTGCAATTTATGCTTTTTTGCAAAAGCTTCGATTATGTCAACATCCAATCCTTTCGGCGAATTTCCACCATGAATGACAAATGGAACTGCATGCGATGTCATCACTTTGATCTTTTGAATTGATTTGGATGCGTGGGATGGATTTAAATTATGTGCTCCAACTATAGTAGCCTTTATTATGAACAAACTTATCATTTTCCAAAACATTTTGAATGTTTTTATCTTCAGAAAGGTCAGATAGAACTGATTGGAAACACTGGGCTGTATTCATTTTATATCAACTTTATTCTAATCATACATGATGATATGTTGCTAAGTATCATTATTTGACTATCAAACACGAAATTCTCCATTGAAAAAAGATACCATCATTTTATATAGGCACGTTATGGCCCATCAATGAGACTACGAGAGTTCATTGTTAAACAATTCTATACTCAAGAGGTGCATAATTAAAAAGTCATCAAAAGCCTAATTTCACACAAAAGTATTTCTAATTGTTTTCCCAATAATATCAATATGACTAATGATAAACTATGTACAATGTGCTTCAAACCAATAATGTGCAATAGACATAGAGTAATCCACCATCCGTCCCTACGGAATTATTTTTTCCAGTCAATTTTTTTCAGGAGAAAATAGCGATATGGATCAAGGGCCATATCAAAATATTTCCAAAATGATGTTACATTTCGTTCTCGAGCTTTCCGAAAAGTTTTCCTCTCAATATATACCACAACGAGTGCCAATACATTCATGCAACAATAAATTATGAGAATAATTAATAAAGTTTCAGTTTGAACATTTTTCTCTTGATTTTTTGATTTTTCTTCTCGAATTGATCTATATGCTTTCAGCCATTTGTCGATTAAGCCACTTTCACTCGCACGTTGCATGAAATCATTCAGATCATTGAGATAGGGAAAGTCTTTGCGAGTCAACATTTTCACTGAATGTTCATAAATGATATTATCAAATTCAAAACAATGAATACTCATTTTGGGACCAAATCGAAAATCTCTTGGCTTAGAACGTGAGTCTTCAAACGATGCCGCAATTGCTAATTTATCATTCCATTCAAGTTCGTCAAAATATTCACTTGGATACCCGACCATTTCAAATTTGGTCAATGATTCACGTGGATAAATCTAAATATGAAGAAATTATATAGACTCCATTGCTCATTTATTCAATATGATTGAATCAAATCACCTTATTTTGTTCCATCATTTTCCACATCGTCAATTGATTGCCGATCAATTTGAAGCCACCATCGATAATCTCTTCAACAGTTTTTATTTGTGGATTGTGTATGGGTGTTATCAAGAATATCATAAGTATATTATTCAAAATCATTACAAATAAACTAGCACCAAATAATTCGAACGTATATGCTATACGGGCGACAATATTTCTCGGATTGTATGCGGATGGAAAGCCAAAAAAAGCGGAAAAACCGTTAAAAAAAATTCCATTCCAGTCCCATTTTGGGCCTTGAGGTTCAAAGATCTCAGAAACATATGAAAAAAGTATCATTAATATGACTGCCAAAGTAAAAATGAGATAAACTAATGGATCATTGCATAAATAGAGAAAATTTTTCCACAAAGGAATCAATGTGCTCTTCTGCACGCACCACGTCAATTTGTCGTGGTAATAAAAACGAGTTGCGGTCAAATTCTTTTTTGTTATAGGATTTTCTTCCAATCCACCGATGAACACGTCAATTTTTCTATAAAATTATTTACGATTAAAATTAATTTTTACCGCCAACTTCCATGTCATTACAATTAATTTAGAACTTACGAATCTTTTACTGAGCGTAAAAATAATTCTGTTTCATCTTCATTGAAAAATGGTGTATCACTTGTTATGATGTATTCGATATTTAGGTGGAGTTTTTTTGCAAAATTATTAATTATTTCGATGTCCAGACCCTTGAGATAGCCATTTTCATAGAATACGAATGGATTTGAGAGAGAAACCATCACTGTGATGTTTTCATTGGATTTGGCTTCCGATGGCTTCACAAATGAAACACAAATCACAAGAAACAGTGAAAATCGGAGCATCCTGAATAACTCTTCAACAACTGTTCAATGTAAAAACACGGATGAAACTAACCACCATTATTGTTTGCCATCAAATTACCAGGTTTTTTCCATTTTATTTTTAATGCATTGTATCTTTCATATCAAAATGCCTCCACATTTCCATCAATAATCTTTTGAACGATTTGTATTTGATAAATTGATGGCGTTTGTATAACGAACCGGTATTTATTACAATTATGTCAATCGCATTTTGTTTGATATTCACATTTCAACAGTTGAAAATGCGGTGTTTGTGTGAAATGAAAGCAATGATACGTATCAAACAGTGTAAATGGATCAAATTAGATTAAATGGATCCATCAAATGGAATAAATATTTTCAAAATCATGATAAAAATAAAGATTGCCACAACTCTACAATATTATTGGAGTAATATAGACACATGACAGCTATTCACACAATCACTTTCAAATCAATAATGTGCAATGGGCATTGACTCTCACTAGAGTATTATTTTTTCCAGTCTACTTTTTGCAAGAAAAGGTATCGATATGGATCAATGACTATTTCTAAATATCGCCAAAATGGTGCTGCATTTGCTGAACGAGCTTTCTGGAATGTTTTTCTTTCAACAAATATGATGAGGAATGCCATTAAATTCATGCAACTATATATTACAAGTGCAACTAATAAAATTTCAGCTTTCACTGTTACGTATTCAACTTTTGATTTTTCTTCTCGAACCAATCTATATGCTTTTAGCCATTTATCGATTAAGCCACTTTCACTCGCACGTTGCAGGAAATCATTCAGATCATTGAGATGGGGAAAGCCTTTGCGAGTCAACATTTTCAATGAATGTTCATAAATGATATTATCAAAGTCAAAACAATGAATACTCATTTTGGGACCAAATCGAAAATCTCTTGGCTTAGAACGTGAGTCTTCAAAAGATGCAGCAACCGCTATTCTATCATTCAATTCAAGTTGACCAAAATATTCACTTGGGTGCTCAACTATTTTAAATTTAGTCAATGATTCACGTGGATAAATCTGAATATAAACAAAGTCGATAAGTCATTTCATTTTTTTTTTATTTAAAGACTTTTATAAGTTGACTTATGTACTTGACTAGTACTTCTAGTGATTGAATTTGATTACCTTATTTTGTTCCATCACTTTCCACATCGTAAATTGATCACCGATTAAATTAAATTGACCATCTATAATCTCTTGAATAGTTTGTATTTGCGGATTTAGATAGGGCGTCACAACAAATAGAATAATTCCATAATTCATAACGGTCACAAATATCAAAGCTCCAAATAAAATAGTCGCATATCCGAATCGACTGACGCTATTTTTCGGATTGTATGAGCATGGAAAACCCAAATAACAGCAAGTTCCGTTAAACAAAAGTCCATTCCAGTCCCACCTTGGACGAGGCTCAAGAATCTCAAAAACATATGCATAACTCATCATTGTTAAGACGGACAAAGTCATCATGATATAAACTAAGGGATCGTTGCATAAATGAAACACATTTTTCCACAAAGGAATCGGTTTACTCTTCTGCACGCACCACGTCAATTTGTCATGATAATAAAAGCGGGAAGCCATCAAATGATTATTTGTTATCAGATTTTCTTCCAATGCTCCAATGAAGATGTCAATTTTGCTACAATTTACACTCAGTTAGGAATGGAATCGCTTAAAATTGCTCTAGTTTAAAACGCTCTGTTCAACTTACGAATCTTGGATTGTGTGCAAAAAATGTTCAAGCAAATGATCAACACTAAATATTTCCTTGAGAGTCTTGTTTAATATGACATATTCGACTTGCAGTTCATGCTTTTTTGCAAAATTTTCGATTATATCAACATCCAATCCAGAGAGGGAATGTTCACCATGAATGACGTATGGAACTGCATGTGAGGCCATCACTTTGATCTTTTGAATCGATTTAGATTCGGGAGATTGGTGCGAACAATATGCTCCTACTATAATCGATATAATCAGTATGACCAAACTTGACATTTTCAAGACCATATTTCAAAACAGTTTCTGTCGTCTGAAGAGGCTTAATAAAACTAAACGAACAAACCATTTTCAGAATGTTGACTAGATTTCAAAAGAGTATAGAGAGATAATTTAAATTATTATAAGGGCTATTAGACCGTCTGTATTTGTTTTGGAATATTTGAGGAGTAAAATAATGACACTCTGTATTGAAACCAAAAAAATTTCACTTCGAAAAGATTTCAATTTTATTACAATAATAGATCAATTACAATCGACATTCTATACTCAAGAGGTGCAAAATTACAATTATAATAGTCATATTTGATACTCAATTTCAGGTGAGGAAACATCTGGGAGAACATGTGACATAAACATGCTATTTGTTTGACTGAATACAATCAGTATTCTTCGATAGTTCTCAGTCAATTGAATTAAGAGTGAGAGTAATCGTTCAAATAAATAAACCGCTCAGGACTAATGTACATATGAATATATTGCCAAAATAATGCGGATTTTGATGCATGCATTTTTTTATGAACAATTCTCTCAATGATTACCAGAGGTGCGCACGCATTTTTTTTTTTGGGGGGGATAGCTGTCAAATTTCGGATTTTCGGAAGGGGGGGGGGGGCCACACCACACCCCCCCCCCCCCCCCCCCCCCAATCCGGATTTTCTTCCGAAAACCTGAAACCGCTTGTATTAAGATTGACTTTCGATTTGACTGAGAACGAAAATGATAATGAATGAGTTTCAATAATATGACGTACTTTCGATTATCTCAAAAATGATAGTTTTTTACAAAACTAGCCAGAAAATGAAAAAAACAAAGCAATTTTGTAATGAATATACACAAAAATGTGTATTTAGAAAATGTACTTGAATCATTGGGGGAGGGAAATCCGGACGTGATAAAATTTTGAGGGGGGTAAAGTTAGACCCGGAAATCCGGACGTGACCAAGCTAGGTGGGGGGTAAAACCCTGAATCCCCCCCAGTGCGCACCTCTGATGCGTAATGCTTTGTTTGCCGAACTTCGTATAGACAGTGCCATCTATATATAGAATGGGATATTATTTCACAAGTTTGAGAATGAGCGCATATGTTATTCCAAAAATTGTTGAAAAATAATTTAATAAATTGTTTCATTTTTTTGTTTGAAAGTGAAGTTAGCACAATTAGCATTAGATAATTTCTATTTAAAAAAAACATAAATTTATATGCGTTTTAATTTAACTTAAAAAGCCTCGGGTGTAGAGTGTGTAGATCTTGTAGAAATGATTTTGTTAAAATCTCCATACGTAAACTCATAAGTGTGAGTTTGACATTTGACAGATAGATTCAAAACGTAATGTTATTGTTCTCTTACATACTTTTCATACACTCGTGCGAATTATTCTGTTCTGTTAAGTTCGTTTATTCC